ATGTGGAGGTTAGGCCCCAAGGTAGAGTCATATAAACCTCTTCTTTGAGATCACCGTGGAGAAATGCATTTTTAACATCCATTTGAAGGAGTGGCCAGCCTTGAAAAGTAGTAATAGAAATAACATTCCGCATAGTAGTCATCTTAGCCACCGGGGCAAAAGTCTCCTCATAATCTACCCCATACTCTTGTTTGTTACCGAGAGCAACTAAACGTGCTTTATACCGATCCAAAGCTCCATCCGAATGAAGTTTAATAGAATAAACCATTTACAACCAATAGCCTTAACATTCGCCAGGCAATCAACAATATCCCAAGTATGATTGTCCGCAAGTGCACTAAGTTCTTCTGCTATTGCCTCCCGCCAACATTCATGCTTAATTGCCTCAGAATACCTTGTAGGAATAGGGATGGATGACAAAGTAGCATTAAAAGATGTATAAGAAAATCCATACCGATTAGGAGGCTGAGAAATTTTGGTAGAGCGACGAGGAATAGTTCCAAAATCCAGCTCATTCTCAGAAAGCATCGTCTGAGCAGGTACAGATGGCGGGTCAGGCTCAGGAAGTGGCGAAGTTGGGCATTGTCTTTTATACACAAATTCAGGCTTGAACCATTCAGAAGTAGAGGGTAGATCATCAAAGTGTGGAAGAATATTTATCTCAGGTAAAAGCTTAACATGAGCAGGAAAGAAATATTGATTTTCGAAGAACACCACATGACGGGATATACGAACTCTATTAGAACAAGGATCATAGCAAACATAACTGCTCTGATATCATGTCAAAGACAATAATTTTTTATTTTGAATGATTATCTTTGTGAGAATTCCTTCTATTAAATAAGCAGAGTATATATAATTATAGGGCTTAATATCAGCTATTACATGAATCTTGGCTAACTATTGGCTAACAGGGAAAGGAATATGCAATAGTTTACAGAAATTATCCCATAATTATATCTTACTAACTACAACCTCAAGTAGTCCAATACTTTCCAGAGTATGAAAAGAGTCACCAACAATGTCCTACATTTTTATTCTCCTTTTGAATAAAAATCTAATTTTCTTGATAAAAGAAGCAGATTGCTATGAATGAAAATGAATTTTTAGCTCGTTTCAGAGTTATTTTATTTCTACTTATAGAGTGTATAAAAGAGTGCGCACTCCAATTTTTTTGACGTAAGATGAAGAAGATGGTTGCACAAGAATTTTCAAAGCAATGCTTTGAAGCAAAGAAGCATGTAAACCATGAAGTAACCACTATGTCTATGAATGAATTCATAACGATTAGTGATAGAATCAAACTTACCAGTAATATTTTTCTTCACGTGTCCTAATGCATTGGATACATATAAAAAATAATTAAAAATATAAAATAATTTAAAAATACGTATACATATCGAAAAATTAAAAAATATAAAAAATAACTAAAAAAATTTCTCAGGTAGGCATCAGAGTGTATTGAAGAGTATTCAAATTTAGATACGTATCAAATATGGTATGTACTGAGTTTACAAGTATCCATGCTTCTTAGGTGAGAATACTCTTCCATTTACAAGTGTTGATTTCTTTGTATTACTCTTTTCATTACATTTTTGTCTCTTAAGCTTGAAGGTCTTCGTAACATCAGAAAATAAGTAAAATACATGAAAATATTGACAGTAAAAGTGAAAGTAATTAACAAGTAAAATTTAAGGGTGAAAATAACAGTAAATTTGACGCTTATTGTTTGACACGGTATCCTATATTATTTCTAGTTCTAACAAACAAGCAACATCTTGACACTAATTACCTGCAAAGATCCACTTGTAAAGTTTAGAATATCAACATTTAAGTGCTCATTTGGAGAAGCTTAAAAAGTTGCTAAAAATTGAGATTTAAATCAACTATTAATTTATCTAGACATTTCACGGGACCTAGAACTTTATCAACTTTCTATCATAAATTTCATCAACTTTTATCAAATTCTGTTAAAATTTTAATCAAAAGCTTTATCAAACAACCTAATTATATAGAAAAGTATTAAAAATAAAGATATAATATATGTGTAAATATTAAAGATTTTATATCACGTGTTCATTTCCCACTTTTCTGGAAAATCACGTGTTGTGTCAGTCTCCATTATTCTTAAATATCAACATTGTGGAAAGTGAGGGAAATAGATGGTTTTTTAAATTAGGTTGTTAAAGCTAAGAGTGGTTTACAAATTATGGAAACTGCTTAGACTCTAGAACTAGTAAGCTTTGTTGTCCAGCTTCGGAAATGTTTATTGAGCAGCTAAGTGTCGTAGTGTTAAGATATTTAACTAATAAAAGAACGTTGAGTGCAGAAAGAGAACTACAAATTATAAGAACATTTTGGAAATGATAAGTCCATGAGTGAAAGGATGAATATTTAGGAGAATCGGTTAGCTGTGACTGAGGATGTAACTGGTTATGCAAATCAGTTTTAAGCTATCAATTGCAGGTGAACTATTGAATTTGAAGCTATTTGTATGTAAACAGGCCATAGAGAAATGTTGAAGTAAAAAAAGATCTTTATCTACTTTGAAATGTTTTTTTGGGATCCAAGAGAAATATGATTATGCTCTCAGATGCTCGGACTCTTCATTTCGGCTAGAGTACCCGTGTCGACACGACACGACACGGGTACCGGTACGGAATACGGGTCTGATTCTTCCAATTTCAATCGGATCCGGCAAGAAATCTTAAGAAAAATTGAAAATTTACCTTATTGGATGGAGATGGAAGGTATCTGTAAAGAAATAGCAAGTTAGCGCCGCGCCGCCGACAATCTTTGGTCCAAAATCTGCTGGTTATCTTCCGGTGGAACCCTAGAATCGTTAAGGAGAAGAAGGAAGATGGAAGACGGGGAGACGGAGACAGGAATGAAAGAAGAGACTTGGGTTTAATTGGAGTTGGGCCATTTTGATTGGGGCTAATGATATGGAAGTGGGTTGGGTTAATAATATGGATGTGGATGGATTTAATTGGAGGTTGGGCCATTTTTATTGGGCTAATAATATTGATATTGGATATAGATGGATTTAATTGGAGTTTGGGAAATGGATATGAGTGGGCTAATAATGTAATTATTTTTACACCAATCATATTCTAGTTTAATAAAATATTCAAACAATAAAATTAATCATTTTTAAAAAAAAAAATTTCAATTCATCATTTTTAACTAAAAAAATACGACAATATAAAAAAAAAATCTAAAAAACAAAATTGAAGTTTGAAAAACGTACCCACGTACCCGTGTCCTAAATTTGGACTCTTTTTAGCCATGTCCCCGTATCCCACATTTTAGAAAATAAAAGATCTGACGCTTTGATACATACCCGTACCCGATACCCGTACCCGAGTCCGAGCATCTTAGATTATGCTATCATACGAAGAGTTAGGTTAATTTATATGGTAAAGGCCATCTATCATAATGCAATTACCATAAGTAGTAGTTGTACTCACATGCCCACAGGATGTTTTACATAAAGATTCAGAAGAAATGTATCTTAAATAAATTAATTACATGCAACAATGATGAGGTTTTTATTTGCCATTTTTAGCTGGTGGTATGGCAAGTAAAAACTGTAGTGAGGATTATTGCTTGAAGTTTTTGGATAAGTACTACTGAGTATGCTACATAACATGAAAGGAACCAACAGTACAGATAGAAACAGGTTTAAAATTGTGGGTCCAGTAGACAGAAAGTGATAATTTTATTTACTGGTTTCTGGCATAGGGATTAGAACCCCCGGCTAGTAAGAGATGGGAATTCAAGTAGAGAGATGTTGAATTAAATATATGGTAAATTGATAGAAAGATTAGTAAATTGAAGATCTGCACATTGAAGAAATATTAGTTTGCTAATTTCATGCGATTCCTAAAATATTTCTTATCTGAGAATGCTCCAATTTATTTAATACTGATTTATTGACCCTCTCTTTTTACTAATTTGATTTTAAGGATGCAATGAAATGACATGGAATAATGGGATTTTTGACCTGCATGGTGTTTACATGTTCCTATTTCCCTAATCTAGAGCTTGCTTGGCTTAGCTTGTTTCTAAGAAAGAAGCAAAACTTGCTTACCTACTGTCAAGAAAAGCAAGACAGAAGCAAGTTTTTTGCTTTTTCTCTAGAAATAAGCTAAGCCAAACGTGCTACGAGTCTGTTAATTGCTATCAGTATCTTGTAGCTTGGGACTCTCCAATTTTCTGTGCTGTGAATTCCACTAAACAGATAGTGGAGTTATATAATGTACTTCAGAAAATTTGTTTGGAGGAGGGTGGCAAAATTATCAAACATGGAAATAAAGTTCTAGATTTCCGATGCTATAAGACTGCAAGTCTTTAAATGGAATTACCCTCATTGGTTTAGCTTTACAATTTCTAGTGAGTGCCATGTTTGAAATCCATGGCAGTTAGCCATTATCAATGAGGTGAATGTAACTTGTAGAACCCCTAGATTTTATCTGTTTAAGCAGTTATATTGTTAGTCTGTTACTCTCTTTTTAATCTAGAGTGGATTTGGATTTGTCTAGAGAGTTAGTGGGATCTTCAAGAAAAATCTTTGGTGGAATCAGCTAGAGCAATCCTCAAATTTCTTCCAATTTTAGCTCCTCTCTTTTGGAGATTGTTATTGATGAGTTTATGAATTTGCAAGTGGGCGAGGCAGTGGTGAACTGAAGGTTTGGAAGAGGAATTTTCCGAAATTGATTAAGTGGGTTTGGGGTCCATTAGGACTTGATTTGTTTATGCACGTATGCTTTCATGTGATTTTTTATTTATTTTTTCTGGGACTTGATTTGTTTATGCATGTTTGCTTTCATGAGATTTTTTATTTATTTTTTCTGGTACAACGGCTGTACTCGTGATATTGCATTTGGAAGTTTATTTAAAGAATTTGTTGGACTTGATACACGAGATGTTTCAAGAATTCTTTTGTCATGTCAAAATAACAAGAGAAATTTTTTTAATTATTATTATTTTTTTTACAGGAGCTAGTTCTCCGGGATAATCAGTTGAAGAAAATTCCTGATGTTAGCATATTCAAGCAGCTTCTTGTGTTTGATGTTTCATTCAATGAGATCTCATCTCTTAATGGACTGTCTAAGGTCTCCAGCACTCTTAAAGAGCTTTATGTTTCTAAAAATGAAGTTATCAAGATGGAGGAGATTGAACACTTTCCTTCACTGCAAATTCTTGAGCTTGGATCAAACAGAATACGGGTCAGGATTTAATTTCTCAAAAAAAAAAAGTGTAGAATGCTATTAACTACTTCCTTAACTTTCAACAAATGATCATATTCCTCATTATGCTATAATACCTTTTTTTATTTTAAGATGGAAGCACACGCATTCTTTAATGTTCTTTGTAGCAGATCTGTTCTCTACATAGGAATAATAGGTGTACAGTATACCTTTTCAAGAAAGTTGCTTAATTTTGAAGTGCCTATTTTTGGTTTCAGAATAGTTACATGACTTAGAAGTACTTTTCATGCAGGTAATGGAAAACCTTCAAAACTCAACAAGCTTGCAAGAACTATGGCTTGGACGGAATCGAATTCGAGCAATTAATCTTTGTGGGTTGAAATGCATTAAAAAGCTTAGCTTGCAGAGTAATCGTTTAACTTCCATGACAGGATTGGAGGTATTTAGTGTTTGAGAGTTTTTGTGATTGAAGAGCTTTTGTATAAAATTCTTTCTTCTAAACTCTGGGCAACATTTGCATCAATATATGTACTTTTTGTGATTTGCAGGAGTGCATTGCACTAGAAGAACTATACTTGAGCCATAATGGGATAGCAGAAATGGAAGGCCTATCAACATTAGTAAATCTCCGGCTCTTGGATGTCTCGGCTAATAAGCTTACAGAAATTAATGACATTGAGAAATTGGAACAGTATGAATCTCTATTTCAGACGTGCAGTTGTATTAATCATCCCTATACACTTCACTTTAAGTTGGTTCTGCAGGTTAGAAGATCTATGGCTTAATGACAACCAAATAACATCGCTAGAAGGAATAGAAGAGGCAGTTGCCTGTTCCAGAGAGAAGCTCACTACCATCTACCTTGAGCGCAATCCATGTGTATGTATAGATATCTGCCTCTCTTGGTGGAATGTAGTGTGTGTTCAAACCGGGAACATCTTTACTACATAATCTTCAGCATTAGTTGATTCTTGGTTTAGAATCTTCTCTAGAACATTGCTTTAGTATTTTTATTATAATAGCTGTTCATTCGTGTTATCCAAAATCCATTCCACTCCTTCAGCCATAACAAACAGGCAGTATATCCCTTTTTTTTGAATAGTTTGTTCTATGGGAACCTCCTGAAGGAACTAGGCCTTGAGCTGCTTGTCCTTGCATTGTTTTTTATTCACTAGGTTGCATAGAAATACTTGTATCACATCGTGTTTATTCTTGCCAACTTGAAGTGATTGAGTACATCAGAAGTTTCTCAGGTTCGAAGCTTTTCAGATGGCAATGATTGTAGGCATATGATTTGCTTTTAACAGGAATATTGAATAAGATTTAGGACCACTATATGCCCATGGAAATTTGATCTCCAACTGCATATTCATGTCTATCAACATTTTTCTGGTTCTTCTGTGACGTCATTATGGGCAAAAACTTTAAATTTTTGCTTGAATGCTGCAATATGAAGACTGGAACTATAACTTGCATTTCCTCCCACGACTGAAATTTGAAGATAGATTTTAGATTAGGCTATCCTCTGTTATAGCCGACTTATATATCAATTGCAAGGTTCCAAAATCCTGTCTGTCTTCTATCGTAGTGCATTGAGGAATTACATTTTATCAGTTGGCTAGAATGCTGTTACTGTTTTTTGAATTAAATGCTCTTGGCATAGCCAGTTACTTGTAAAATCTTCTTCAGGTCTTAACCTTTTCCCCTGTTGACTTTGAATTTTAATGTAATATCAAGTTTTCCTAATGCATTTTTTCCCCTCTGCAGGCTAAATCTCCAAATTATATTGCTACTTTGAAACAAATCTTCCCCAACGTTGAGCAAATCGATTCAGAATTGTTTGCTTAGTATATCTGATTTGACCTGTGGACGAATTTTGGTATGAACTTATACAAAGAGAGGAAGTTAGGTGCTGACACCGGATAATTCTCGAGCTTAATCTCCTATAAATCAGTTTTATAGCTCAACATGGTACTTCCCGGAGGAGCAACATTGAAGAAGTTTTAACCTTTTCAAGGAGCACAGAGGTCTGTCTGAGGGACTTGCAACCCAAAAGAATGTAACAACCTTCTCATGGAATCATTTATGTTTCTTATATTCCAGTATTATGTTTTCAAGGAGTTACTATTTACCAAAAACAAAAAAAAAAAACGTTGCCTTGTTTCTTACGTTGGGGGTTTAAACCATCTTAAGATTAAAGCAGCAGTTGATTGTGGTTAACAAATCAAAATTGTTGTTGATTCATAGAGTTTGCCTTTCTTCCAAACGTCGTGAAACCAAGCTCTCTCATAGGTGTTCTGTCTAAGAAATAAGCACTTCCAAATTGAATAATTTGATCTACTATAGCGTCCAAGAGAGGGTTGATTAACCAACATCGTACACTTCTTCATCCATAGCAAATCTTATCATTTTACAAAATTTAATTAATTTTGAATCATCGGTTGAATCGGTCATCAGATTCTATCTCACAAAATTGGGAACAATGCTGTGATGAGGAAGATGATAGAACCCATGTTAAGTGCCCTTATGATATGTAAATCGTAACTGATATCTAACATTTTTGCCCCCTTTCTCAAGTTCATTTGAAAAAGAAATCTTAAAAATCAATAAATGTGAACAGCTTTGTGGTATTCTAGAGACTGGAAAAAAAATGAGAAAATTATAAAATGAACGTGAGAAAGCCTCCAACGAAGCAAAGCATATTGCCATGCTCTGGCCATGACAAGATCAAAGACCTGCAAATACAGCCAACACTAGTTCTAAGGAGTAAATGAAGAGTACACGAGGGACGTTCCTCAAGCAAGGAGTCGTAGGTTGGTTTGATCATGAGACACGGGATGAAGCTGGGCACACAAAATCAAGGTTTGCGGGGCAAGCGAACTCAAATGAGACCGAAAAGTAGGAGGACAACCTATTCATTTAGTCCCCGTTTGGCCCAATTAATTTCCATTCCATTACATTTCATCTTTCTCTCTCCTATTTTCAACCACAAAATCTTCAATAAAATAATATTACAAGTAAAATGAAAACTTTTCCTTCTTTTCAACCACTCATTTAAAAAAAAAAACGCTATTCCATCCATTTTCATTTCCACAAAATGAGGGCCAAACGGGGCTTGATGTGACATTATAAGTTTGTGCAAGACTCCAAAACTATGTTAGGACATTGCAGAGTCCAAGTCTAGAGCATTACATTTGAGGGACAAGTTAAAGCATTCTATAGTGATGCAAATTTGGAACCACAGTCTAGAATGATTCAGGGTAAGAAGTTGGAGGGAACTTGTGGAAGGTCGTAACCTTCTCTAAAATGATCATCTAATAAGTATTAAAAATCATACTATTAAGTAATTCAAGATTATTGACAGTTTCATTTCAAGATTGCTCGTGATCATCTCTAAATTTCCTTTTAAAATTAATTTTTATTATTTTCTTTTCAGATTCAAACCTTACAATGTATTTGCTTCGAATAATTTTCCTCATATATCGTCATGTTAAATGTAACGTGATTACTTATGTAATCGTACTGGAATCCATTTACAAATCAGAATTTATGATTAATAGGCTCATTTGTTTTCTTTTACTTCAAAAATGAATACATTCATATTTTGCTTGTGTAGTTCATAAGTTGTTTTATTAATATTGAGGGACAGAAATCTAAAAGTGGACACAAGAACATGAATGACATCTTATTAATTTGATGTTAATGTTGAAAATATCAATTCATATTGTTACGCTCTTATCTGAACTACTTCGAAAAGTCTACGTCCGCGTTATATGAGATGTTCAATACCCATCCGAAGTGGTTTCGAAGTGGCGCTACCACCAATGTTGTCGATCTGCTAATGCACTGCGAGGCACAGACAATCTACTGAACCGATCGAAGCATCCTCGCCCCTGAAGCCGAGGCGCAGTACATTCTGAGGTTCTCTGTCAGAGGATCCGCCGCCAATTTCAGAAAGAGATCTATGTCAATATCCTTTCTGCCCCCAAGGTTTAATTGATTTGACGTCTCCATGAACCTAGTTGATGTGACGTATCAACTTTATGTCAACTCAACTCGGGAGAAGTAATTACCCGCCCACTCTATAGACGCGGATGATTGACGCTTATGAGCAAACGCCTCACACCGTCAGATGCATACACGTGTTCCATATCCAACGGTTCTCCTCACCTATAAATACCCAAAGTTTGGCAAGAGGCAAAAAAGGATGAAACTCTTACAACTTAGCTTTCCATAACAAGTAAATATATATTTTCCTCCCCACCCTTTTGCACAAATTTGGTACTGTTCCGATCACCTGGGGCTAACTTGATCGTCGAAGTGTATGCGACCATCGCCACCTCCGTTGGTTCCGGCCGTGTGCATCTGACTGTGCGTTGATTGTGCATAGGGAGGAATACGTGGAGTAGCTATCGGTTGGCCACTTGGAGGGTCCAATTTGCGAGGTCAACAGATTGGCGCCGTCTGTGGGAAACTTCCCGTCCAAAATTCTGCATTCGCCATCGGAGAAACCACCGGAAAACTAGTGACTTCCCCTAAAAAGGGCACGTTCTTGAAAAAGAGCAAAGTCGAGTTATAATCCAAGTTCTTATCACCCTTGAAAAAGGAGATAAGCTGAGTTCCAGCTATGAAGACGAGAACCCTATGAGAGAGGCCTCTGAAGAAGAGGTGCTCCTTACAATATCACTCACCAGAGACCCCATCACCGGCGTCGCCAAGGTGAAAAAACTGTCATGCTCACTGAAGGAATGACTCAAATAGCTCCGAACATGAGAGACATCGCAGCCCAGAATATGGCGATGCATGAACTTCTCATGCAAGCCCGAGGTCACCAGGGCTCTCAAATGCCCCAAGGATCTTACCCAGTTCAGGAAATCCCTGCATCTCGTTCCCCAGGTCGTGTGAGCCAGCACAAAGAACGCCCCCTCGAAAGAGAAGTGGGTGCGAAAGCCACATCTTATGTGCAAGGGAGCCAGCTAGCAGAACCGCAATTGGGGGACAATTTCCCTCAAGAATATGAAGCACAAAAGTCAATCGACGCCTTCGACCGAATAGGACAGGACCCTAGTAATAGAGTCCGCTCAGTGCGAAGATCAGTTCAGCAAGAACAGGAACAAGAACAAGCACATCCTCCTCCTAGAAATAGGAAGGAGAGAAGGGGCTTAGTTGATTGGGGCAGTTGAGGAGAAGCACCTCCACCTTCCCAGAATATTCAAGATGATGAAGGGTCAGATAGGCCTTGTCGATCCTATGAAATTGATGATGATGATGATAACCTCCCTTTCTCAAGGAAAATTCGAAGCTTCCCAATGCCTGCGAATTTCATACACCCTAAGATCTCCAAGTATGAAAGAAAGGGGGACCTAGAGAAGCATCTCACCAAGTACATGACACAGATGAGCCTCAGGGGAGTCTCGTCTGTTTTGAAATGTAGAGCCTTCCACCTAACCTTGGGAGGAGCTGCTGAAGTGTGGTACAACAGACTTCCTCCCCTAAGCATTAGGAATTGGCCAGATTTGAAGAAGGCATTTTTGAACCAGTACCTCTCACGCAGAGAAGGAGAGGTCCCAGTGCAACGCTTGTAAGATATGAGACAGGCCTCTGGAGAGACGCTGAAAAACTATCTCGCCAGGTCGACAAACGAAATCACATACTGCGAGTAGGTCACTGACAGAGAAGCCCTTTCAGCTCTGAAAGGCGGCCTCAACATGAACACTTTGTTCTGAAGGGATGTGCACAGCAAAAATCCCTCCACTTATGACGAGCTGGTAGAAATGATGAGAGTTGAGATCGTCAGTGAAGAGATGATTGATCACCGAAATCGTGCCGCGAGGGGACTCCCTCTGCCTCAAAGGCAGGTAGGTCGAGTACCTGCATCACACCTTGTCACTCAGCAATGGACTCGAGCATGTCATACAATAGCTCCCACCTCCGGACAGGCATTGGCTTCTGCCACGCTAAATGCAGTGCCGATGTTGGCATACGAGAATTTCCCTGGCGAAGCAGGGCCATCTGGAGGAATTGATAGTAATAAAAAGAAGACTTCATGAAATTCTTGGTGGTAGACCACAAATCGGCCTACCATGGAGTATTGGGCAGGTCCGCCTTGAAAGATCTTTGGGCTGTCACCTCCATCCACTACTTGTGTATGAAATTCCCAACTGAACATGGGATTGCTACGGTCTGAGGCGACCAGATGGGCTCCAGGGCATGTTACTTAAACTCTCTGTGAAAATCGGAGCCCCGAACTGTTAACGTGATCATAACTGAAGTTGCCAGTGAGGCCAATTTGGATGTGAAAATGCTCGACGCCCCTGAACAAGGGCATACCTTTGAATAGGAGGAAGACGTCAACATGGAAGAGGCCCCTGAAGAAGGGCACCCTCTTGAAGAGTTAGATCCCCGGATAATTGACACTGAGCCAAATGCAACCCCAATGGAAGAACTTGAAACTTTCTCCGTCAACCCAGTGGACCCCAGTCAGGTCTTGCGAATAGGGAATGCACTGTCCCCCGAAGCAAAAGAAGAAATGGTGAGCTTCCTAAAAAGGAACTTGGATGTTTTCGCTTGGAAGCATGAAGACATGGTGGGAATAGATCCCAGGATCAGTTGTCATCATCTTAACATCAACTCCTCTTGTACCCCACATCGGCAGAAAAGACGTGCCCTCAACCCGGAGTGGTAATAGGCACTCAAAGATGAAGTAGACAAGCTTAGTCGCAGCTGCTTCATCAAAGAAGCTATCTATCTGAAGTGGATATCCAACTCGGTCTCGGTGAAGAAGCCCAGAGGAAAGTGGAGGGTGTGCGTAGACTTCACAAACTTGAATAAGGCATGCCCTAAAGATAGCTTTCCACTTCCAAGGATAGACCAACTTGTGGATTCCACCGCTGGACATGAACTCTTGAGCTTCATGGATGCATACTCAGGGTACAACTAGATACCCATGTTCCGACCAGATGAGGAAGCTACATCATTCATCACAGACAGAGGATTGTGCTGCTACAAAGTCATGCCCTTCGGATTGAAAAATGCCGTAGCTATGTATCAGAGGTTGGTCAACATGATGTTTGCCGAACTCATTGGCAAAACCATGGAGGTCTATGTTCGCGAAATTATTTCTTTCAATTTTAAACCACCGCAAGTGTACGGTTCGTTAACAAGTAATAAAGTGGATTCAATGAGTTCGAATATCATCCCACAGAGATTGATTAGTTCAAATTTTATCTACCTTATCCTTAA